AGCTACTTAAGTCAGATTCTGTTGTCTTCTTTTGTGAAGTTATCATGCTGGCAATAGACAAAATAAAACATGGTCCAACTTATTTAGGCCATATGCCTGTCTGAAGTGAACCCTGTCAGGGGTCAGCCACATGTTGTCTCATCTGTCATCAATGTTCACTCCTCATGGGGTACAGGTACATGTATACTATGACTGTTAGAGGTTGTCTAAGTGTGAGGCCACAAAATGCCACTTTAAGAAACACAAAGACCAGTACATGGTACACCAGTATTATTTTGTTTGCTTCTAGTAGTAAAAAAAAATTAAGCTGAATTTAATCATAACCCAGCTACTCAATAAATGATTCATTAATTTTCTAGGTCATTTAGAATTTTATATTAAGTTGTTAAATTGATATGATTATAATAATAAAGGAATATAAATCATATCAGTTAAATGTAAATAAGACGGGGTTTACTTACCAAAATTTAAATCGTCTATGACTATGACCACACACATTTTAAAATGCTTCCAGTATTATGCATATTAAACATTTAATTTTTGCCTGTTATAACTAAAGTAAACATAACATGACAGCCTTTCAGCATATCGGTACAATAACACACTTAAAGCATGTACATTTCTAATTTACCAAATACTCTGTACTACCAAGACTAAGACATGGTAAAAAAAAATGGAAAACTATAGACTACAGATATTAAAATATCCTCTACCGGTACTTAAAATCCTAAAAACCAAATAAAATACTGACCATGCTGCGTTTTGGTTAAAAATCAAAACCTTGGGCAAATCTGATAAGTTGTTAATCATGTTATTCAATACCAGTGTTGTATATATTACTTTAATTTTCCTCGTAGTGTAAAGAAGACCATCATTTAAGGACACTTGTCAATATGCACTCTTTTACAAAGTCAACTTGTTAACTTTGTGTACTTAAAATCTGTAACCCAGTATAACACAGTAGGTAACACAGATACAAGTTTAAGTTAACTATATTTAAATTATTTTTTTAAACTATATTTTCAGGAAATTATTGTCAACTTTTCTAAAATCACTTCCTAAACACAACAAGGCTGAATCTTCAGAGGTGCTTAATAAATTGTATAAATATTATTTCAAATAATATAGGTACTCACCTGCAATAAGCGTTTAGACGCTAATGAAAACCTACCTGGTGCCTTAAACCATTAATTAAGGCCATAAGATGTAATAAAATATTGGCGTATTATCGATTTATAAAAATCAATAAAGCATTAAACTAAATCAGACAGATTATTGTAAATTTAAGTAGGCCTACACAAAAAAAACCCAGGTTTATAGATCAAAATGTGTGTCCTTTTTGACCAATACAAAGTGTTTATGAACAGTAAAATTATAAAATTTTAGGTGTTATGTTATCATTTTGCTAATTAAATATACAGTTCTGTTGATTCAAAGCACTAGTTTTTGTTTGGGGGTAGCCTACCATTCTGCTAACCTTTGAGTTATTTTTTACAACTAAGGTTATGACAAATTTAGGGTTTTAATAAACATTTTTATTTTAATTAATAATCAGGGTTTTGTCAGATTACTTACCAGTACAAATTTGATTGGCATTATAGGCTGTTAGTTTTGTATGATTTTTTTTGCATGAATATCCCATGACTAAGGCCCCTATTTTACAGGGTTGTAACCATTTAATTCATTTTTGTGTCTGGCAATACTGTACGGTAAATCTTTTTTATACATATAATTGTTTTGACAAAGGCATATTTATTAACGTGTTCATTGCAAATGATTTTCATGGATGGTTTTAATTCAATGGGATTGATTATTTATACAATTTCATTCACTTTAAACTCATTAAATTTTTAAATACTTTAGTGGATTGATTACCTATTGATGTGTTTTATTCTCTTATGCATGTACTGTAATATCTAATATAATACAAATAAAAATTGCAAATTACAAAAGAAATGTTCCACATGTTCTATATGTTATTAATTATTATTTATAAAACTATTTAACAAATTATTTAAAATGGTACAAAATGAAGAGTAACAGACAAAATAAATTGATTAGTTCTTTTAAAGTAAACAAATTCCTTTCTATTTCTTATTCTTGAATTTAAAAATAATTTAAACTTATCTACAGACAAAAAAAAAATTGTACCCATTCAAGGTTTGATCTGTGATAGCTTTAGTAATTATTTTGTTTATTTATCATTTAATTACATTGAAAGTCTAAATATTCTGTTTACTTTAGAATTATGATGGTTGAAACTGGACATTTAAAACTCAATTACTCCTTTTTATTTGGCTGATGTATTATAAAATAAAATAACACATGCTCAGTACAGTATTTAGGTATTAATGGTTTCATATTTTTCATTCTATTGAAAGTTGACTAAGCTTCATGAGAGTGATTTAATGATTTTTGAATTATCAGCTGTTTATAAAAATGTACAGTATTAATATAAAAACAGCTGGCTGATAATTGGCTGCTTTTAACATTACCAGTTAAAGATGAGTTCAGTTGCATTTGCAGCCAAAGTCATAGTTTCCGTTACAAAGTACGGTATACGTTGTATAAAATGCACCAATACAATCATTCTAAATCTTTGTCTATCATGACAAAATTTAGATGGATTAACCATATCTTCAAAAGATATTCAAAATTCATGAAAATTCTATTTTATCCCCCCGATTGAAATATTTTAGCCTAAGTAAAAAAACCTACTTGCTCCATATTATGTTGATAACCTTGTAATGTTACCCAATAATATGCCAGGAACTAAACCAGATGTCGGTCCTGAGTATTTCTAAAAATGTTTCGCTAAGGCCTGGCGCACATGGTAGATTTTTTGATCGGCTGATTAAAATATCTGCTAAAAATAAATCGCCCTTGATTTATGTCTAGGCGCACTTTTGGCGATTTTAGTCAAGAAATGGATTTTTTGAGTGCGTTTAAGCTATCCTAAAATGGACTTTGTTGAATTAACCTGTGTTTGTGCTCTTCTAATTACATCAAAGAAAAAAATAAGACAACTTAATTATTGGGTTCATCTGATAATAAGTCAGAGACTTTTAAATCAACAGTTTTATAAACTATACACTTTACGTGATGACAGTAAAAAGTTCTTTAATTACTATAAAATGTCTGTTGAAAGTTTCAGTTTTATTATAACAGCTGTGGCCTTTTTTAGCAAAGAAAACAACACAACTCTCACTGAAGTTCACTGACTCCTTCGGAGAACAACAAGCGACTGGCCGATTTTTTAGTCGACCGTGTGTGCAGACTGTTAACAACCTGTACATTACAGATTTTTCGGGCGACAATCGCCTCGCCTACGAATCAGCAGCAAAACCCAGATTTTAAAATCAGCGCAATTCTCGATCACCTGTGTGCACGCTTCCATTCTAATACATGATGCACAGATCGGCCGATGAAATAATCGCCTCAAAATAATCACTCGTGTGCGCCTAGCCTAAGGGAGTTTGCAAAATTTAAAAAAAATGTTTTTGTGAATCCTGTAATGTAAAACCTTCACTGTGCTCACCTCAATCAAATGTAGGTGATCTGACAATTAAGTAAAACTTCCATAATAACTAGTCTGAAGTAGGGATTCTATTTCTAATTAAATAAAAAGCTCAAAAGCCAAAGGCGATTTTGCTACTTTAGTTCTGCCATGAAAAACATCTGTTCCATTCTATCAATCTCATCGCTTTACTGACCAGAACCAATATTTATTCATGATAATTTAAAAGGCCTTACATTTAAAACATTGTGGAAAAAAGTATATTTCCTAAAATTGCATTATTGTTTGATTGTATGTAGAGAGTAATTGATTTAATCTTTTCTATTGATATATTTTTTATGAATAGGCTGGTTCATAAAATTATGTTTGATTAAAGATTAGTGAAAATCATTAAATGTTTGTTGTTACTTATTGCAATTTCCAATCTCTAAAACCATCAGTCCGTCTTTTAGTTGATAAGTTGATCGACTGGCGATCAGAAAATGAGATGGGCCTACTGTATTTTATTTGCATAGGCATATTTGATAAGAATTAAAATGTATTTGCAAGAATAGATGGTCCACGTGTAGGCACGATAATTATTGAACACAATGTATCTTGAGCTGAAGATTTTAGGCAGCAGTCACAGCTATGGCTAGCTACCTTTACTAAAAGCAACTACATGGGGTAAAGCACGGAGAACAGCCATTGAAGATCTGCGATGATATTCTTGTAACCAATTTAAACAGATTAGGGCAATCTCTATCCTTCCCAATAGTTAAAACACACATTAATGGGCATTACTAGATCTTCACAGAGTCATGCTGGTTACCAGTTTTTTTTACCATCAGACTGTAACATATTTTAAAATTTAAACAGTTATTGAAAAGGCCGATATAGCCTACTTCAAAAAGATAAAGGTGTTTGTTAATATCTTTAACAAAGCGTTTACAATGTTCAAGACTGAAGTAAAGAATTTTAACTTTCATGCATTAAATAATTTAACTTAAGTTTTATTTAAACAGTAAAAACAAAAACAGAAACATGCAAATAACCCTAACATCAATAATGTAGGCCTAACTAAAAGCAACAAATTAACACAATTAATTGATTTAAAAAAGACTTTATAGATTTGAACATGCACTACACCCCAGTAGTTAGTTACACCAAACTATATTAACTTACTAAACACAGTTATATGAATTTAAAGGTAACTGGCTTGACGCTCGATAAGAATCTAGTAAGCCCAAACAATCAAATCGTGCAGTGTAATAATATTGGTGAAGCAGGTGATATCCGTCGAACAGTCATTCAGTTCCAAGCAAAGTAAGGAGTCATTAAATATTATACCGACAAGCAGCTGGTCTACTCTCAATCTACTTTATTGATAACTGCTCTACAGTGCATGGTAGATGTCTACACTACACACACAACTACAAAAACATCTAACACTATTACAAACAGAAACACTAAGGAGCCAGGTGAACATTTTAGACCAACCCTCTAAACCCGCAAACAAAGTTACAAACTTACTTTATTTTTCATTTTAATGAGAATACAAAAATAGAGGGTTCATCTCCACTTCTAACACATTTATTGCTGTTGCATATTGTCACCTAAGCAAAAGGAAAAAGTGACATTTTCAGTTTTATGAATAAAACGCAAAATAAAAAATGGTTAAAACCACAAACAAATATCAAACAAAAATATTTCAAAATGTTTAGTAATGATCACGTTTTCCTTTCACTAAATTCAATTCTCTGCCAAAACCCAAATAAAATTTAAAATAAAATTACAAAAGTTTCAAAAATTATTTAATACTGACAAAATTTAACCAGTTAAAAAGCTAAGAGACTATCGCTCTTACTGGATTAACAATATTTTAGGGTTTTTACAGAGAATTTTCAGAAAATCTACTTATAATACTACAGTTGCATCAATAATCACTAGATGTAGAGTTTATAACCAAGATGGATAATAACATTATTATTGGTACTGAAATATAACCTAAAGTTCAGTAACGTTTTTACAATCCTTAAATATAAAAATGAGTATTGAAAATCTTTTGACCTCTTTAAGCGAGGTGAAGCACACTTGGGATTTTCCAGTTTTAACAGCGTGAAATATTTATAAAAATAATTGTTACAGACAGCATGTCTATATTTTTCCAGTTAATTTATGAAACAATAATCTTTTTTAGCATTCTCTATCGTTACTAATCAACATTATGCAATTTAACACAACTTAAAATTACAACAACTTTTAACAGGACTACACTCGGCCGAAGTCAATCTTCAAAATAAAAAAATTGGTCCACAAAATCACATGTTTAAAATTCGATGTATTTTGGGTAAAATCCCATTTAGAACTTTAGTCTAGTCCAAGAGGATGAAATATGGAATGTAAACAGGTGCTTCAAACTCGACTCAATAAAAACAAACAATCATGAGGAAACAGAAAACAACAGGAACATTACTTAGGCTAAGTAATTTAGTCAATAGTTAAAATTAAAAGCACAATTCGAATAAATAACTATCACTAACGAGTGGAACATTGACAATCAAAGGTGTATGACTAGATTTAGTCCACATGAGTTGTGGTGTGACCAGGCCCACTGTCTCTTTCATGTACGGAATTCCACTTGAGATCAAGTTATATATACAGAACACTCGTCTCTGTAAAACAAAGCTAATATGAACACTGTACAACACTTCCAAGGGTTTACGGCACCCACGTGACACACAACAAGGCAGACTAACAACGGCGATCTGTTTAAAGTTATTACTGACCGCCTTTTCGAGTTATACCGAGTATTATTATTAATTAACCAATAAGTGGAAGATCCAGTAAAGGGCATTGCTAATACTGTCGCTTATTGCAAATTTATTGCTTAGAAAAAGAGCCCAGAAAAAGGTATTATTGTTACTTCATCAATGAGCAAAAGCAGATCTAACTCGAAAGACTTTTAAGTACTGAAAAAGATTTAAAAACAATTCTGTTCAATGATATCACGTAATGCGTCCTTAATGCCTGAAGTAAGGGCTTCAAACATACATTCCCATTCCATACATGGAACTCCAGTCGACACCCTGGAAGCTAGACATGTCCACGTTTGCCAAACTGTATGCCTGGTAGGGGTTGGTGGGGGGTGCCAGACCTGTTGCTGGGTTTAGACCTCCTGGTGTAGTCGGGTTTGTAGCCTGGTTTGGGGGTGTCGCCGCTGCTGGTAGTGCTGCCACAGGGTACGGAGCGTATCTGTATCCAGCCAAACTGGGATAACCACTGAACAGTTTTCCGTAGCTCACAGCTGCTGCATTCTGAACCGCTGCTGCTGCGTTTTGTGCTGCGGCAGCAGCCGCTGCAGCCTGGACGTGAGCTTGTGCTGCCACCAACTGGCCAGTAGTAGTGACAGGTGTAGGAGCTGCCATTCGCATTCCACCCATAACCATAACACGCTTCCCAAGTAAGAGTCCAGGTGCCACTACTTCCTTAGGCTGTGCTTTTTTACATTCGACCTTCTTGTTTTTTATAGTATGGAAATGAATTTCACAGATCCTATCGACGACATCTTCATTCTCAAAAGTGACAAAGCCAAAGCCTCTGTGACGTTTTGTTTGCTGATCCATCAGCATAACAGTTTCTTCTACCTTTCCAAACTGGCTAAAGTAGGCCTTGACTTCTTCTGAAGAAGTATCTTGACTAACACCACCAACAAATATCTTCTTGGTTCTATTTGACTGTTTAGGCCTATTCTTAGGAGTTGCATGCTTTGGATCGATTTTTTTGCCATCTAGTGTGTGAATAGGCACTTTGAGAACTTTCTCAACGGTTTCCGGATCTGAGAAGGTGATAAATCCAAAACCTCTGCTTCTCTGTAACAATGAGAAGAAAGACATATAGGAGAGGATGTTTAACACGAACTACAAGGAGGCCTAGTTTATGAGATTTAATTATACAGGGTGTCTCACCTTAAGTCTCCAAACACAGACCAATAGGTACTAATACTTGGGACCAATACAACTACGACTATTATTCCCAAACTATTACTTGGGAATAAATTTCCTGTATACACACTTTGAATTATGTAAAAGAAATTATTCAGGAATAAAGACATTTTGATTTGATAGAGTAAACCAATAGTTAACTTTTTGATTATGAGAAAGACAGTTAACTTTTTATGGGGCATTCCTCATTATTTTTTAAGATGTGTTTTGGGATGGTTTTGAATTTAAAAAATATGATCGCTGTTTTCCAATATGGTCGACATATTTGATATTTCTTTGCAACACCCTGTATTTTTATGATTGTTTACGAATATAAATGTGATTTTAAAATATTTTTATTCTTGAAATTTCTTCTCTAAAGTTACTTGAAGGAGTTAGCTACTTGTTAACTCTATAATTTACAAATGGTTGTGTTGCTAGCCTAGTGGTTAGTGTCTCGGACTTCAGTGTGGGAGGGATGGGTTCAATTCCCGGCAAATTCACAAAACTAATGGGTTTGTACCACTTTCCCTTAACAGTGTTTAATCTCATAATTAATTTAATCAAAAGGCCACTGGCGTAGGAAAACGTGTTTAAAAATGGCTTGCAGTGTACATTCTGCATCCTGCAGCTCCTAAATGAGTATGTTTAGAGATAAAATACAAAGAATAAATAAGTCTTAACATTGTATCTAAATTCTTAAAATACAGATTGCTCCAATTTTAAATTTATCTACTAATGGAAAATGGCGGCCATTTTTGAAACAATGGAGGCAGAACTCATAGACAAAATTCTCTAATTTTCCCAGATTTCCCAACAGAAAAAAACCTGGTTTTCCCAGTCGTATAGTTGCAAGTACACCTTTTACTTGTGGTCTGCGGATACTCCACTTCTTTGGGTATGTTTGGACCAACGGTTGGCATGAGATCCGTACGGGCAGAAACTGATTATCAGGTCAAGATTAGAATGAGTCAAGCCGAGCTAAGCACAAATTTCTGACCGCGGTAAGCGTTTACAAAGATGCATGATCAAAAATCAAAAATTTTACTGTCATAGTGGGAGATGATTATGTCCTATTATTCCAAAAGGTGTCCAGGATTTATCCTTAACTGCGGAGGATGTTTGCGATTTTGCCAAGATTGCGGACGATGTTCTCGAGATAATCGTGACTGTGGAAGACGTTCATGATTGTAGTGAATACCGAAGATATACTCAATTTTGCTATGACCACAGAAGATGTTCTTGATTTTACCGTTGCGGAATATGTTTACGTTTTCTCCGAGATCAAGAATTATGTTCATGATTTCACTGTGACCTCAGAAGATGTATCCATGACCTCTAACTAGCTACTGTATCCATTCTTTGCAACGGGAAGAAAAATCAGTTTCATAATGATTTAAAGGGATTTAGAACAAACAATCTATTATAAAGTTTTAGATAAAATAATCATACCACATAGTTGTGTGAAATATATATTTAATTTCTTTGGATCAGCTGTCTTGAAATCGTGAAATGAGAATTTGGCAGTTCTGATTGTTTACCGGTACATTTAAATGCCAACACAAAGTTGTGAATTTTCTCATGCTTCCATGGAGGCGAATAATAATATTTACTTTTAAAAACCTCACCTCAAAACTTTGGACATCCAAGGGGCGTAGCCCAAGAGGATCTCAGGGAAGTGAGACCTATGAGATTCCTAGATATGTGGACCATTTTTGTGCTTAATTTTGACTGTGTCGATTAATTATTTTAGTCGTGACAGCTGCCCAGACAGACAGACACCATCTTCATTTTATAATAGTATAGATTGACCAGTATACTAATAATTATAATAGGCCTATAATAGAACATCAATGTTACCTGTGTAAGGGGATCCTTCATGATAAGAACATCAGTGACAGTGCCAAACATGCCAAAATACTCCTTAAGCTTGTCAGGTGATGTCTGCCAACTGAGGCCACCAACGAACAGTTTTGCTGCTGCTGGGTCTTCATTTGGGGATGAACGACCTGATGAGTTTCCACCTGCTGAAACATTTTATAATTTACTTATGATTCAGCAAGTGCTATGAATGTTTGTAAAGGATAAAGTTTGCAAACGATAAAGTTTGCAAACGATAAAGTTTGTAAACTATTTTGGGATCACATGAATCATCTGCTTTAAATTATGAGCTTTACAAAATCTACTGACAAACATTATCAGCATTTATTGAGTTGGAAGTTGGCTTCCACGGTGGATTTTAGAAAGCCTCAGATCAAGAGCTGGACAAGAACTGTCTAAAAAGTCAAAGATTGCTGTGTCTAGTGAAGCCCAGTCATCTTGTTATGAGCGTTTCTCTAAGTTTATAAGCATCTACTTGCGGCAATGTGAACTATGTCTACTACTGTATAAGTATTAAAATGATCTTAAGTTGCAATTTTGAACATTATATGCTGCTTTTATTATGTGTTTGTATTTATAGTTTTTATTGTTGACTAAAAACTGTCTTAAATGTTCGGAAAAGTTAAACCTCGTTATTTTTTGTAACACTTCAGTACTAAGATTTTAACAGTAGGCTACTCATGTTTATTCTGAAATATCTAAGTCATAAACAGATCTAGTCATAGAGAAGTAAGGTAAAGTGGAAACATTCAATGTTACATTGTCGCAGGTGTTTAGAACACCACACCCCAAGCACTCATGTGACACTCCTGCGCTCACGGTGGAGGAAGTGCCCTGTGCGATATGAGTTCTGCACACTGTTCGCCGCTTAGGCTCTTCCTTGCTCGACAAAAAATTATATTTCCAGCACAAAATGCTAGAGCTGAAAGCGCACGGTCGTACCATAAACTTAAGCATGATTAATCTGTACTTTACTTCTCTGTAATCTAGTTTCTGTGAATACTGTTAAATTAAAAAGTATCTGTGAACTGGGGTATTTACAGGTTATTAATTATGCAAAATAATGTTTATCCTAAAAACTTATTAGATCTATCAATGGTGTAAGTTGGTGCTGCATTTTTTCATATCATTCAGAGAACGTTTCAGTTGAAGTATGTTGAGAGGGTTAACGAGGAAATTAGTTTAACTTATGGCAACCAACAGAAAATTTTTATACAGTTAGCACCTTGATATTTAAAGATGAAGGGGTGAGGGTAAAAATTCGAGTTATCGAGGCTTTTAGCCAGTGGCGGATCTAGAACAGTCACGAGGGGGGGGGGGCGAAACGTGAAGTATGGGGGGTTCCGAGGTATCCTCTTGAAAAATTTGTGCAAACCAAGTCTCCTAAATGGCAATTTTATACCATTTCTTTGTCCAAAGTTAGTGTGACAAAATATTTTACACAATATGCACTACTGGATTACATGCAGTAAAAATTATAGGCTATATGTATGTATGCCCGAGGGGGTCGCCCCCTTTGCCCGACCTCTGGATCCGCCACTGCTTTTAGCGAATTTCCCATATAGGGAATAAGCTATTACCGTAGGTCTCATGGAAAGACCTGAACCCAGGACCGATTTACTTTTTAGTTTTGAGGTCCCCAGAGGCCAAAAATACCATCCGATCAAATTCATATATATTTGAACTAGCTGTGTGTTCATATATATGTGTCCGTTAGCGTGATAACTCGTACAAAAATTATCCGATTTTGATGAAATTTGGTATTTAAACATGTAAACTTACATTTACTCGAACGAGTTTGCGAACCAGCATTATTGGACCATGGGAACGGGTTTTTATGGGGTAAAAATGGGGTTTTTCCATTTTTGACCCTAAAAACATAAAATTTTGGAATTTCTTTCCCAACCATTTGTAGAGCTTAAAAAAAGAAACAATTATTACCGGTACCTATATTGAAGCATTGTTGTATGCCTAATGGTTACGGAGAAAATGAAAACTGTTGTAGTTTACTTTTTTATGGATATACGTTGATCGAATTTATTTATTTCATCCTATTCTTATGACGTTTGCTCAAAAAAGTCTGTTTACCTTCCCCGTAGCAGCAAACCTAAGCACTCGTGAAATCTAATGTTATTTAAATTAGGAATATGTCTTATTTATGGAAATATTTTAGTAAATGTAATCAGACAAGATGAAATTCGCTTAGTCTGCTGGTTTGCTGCGACGGGGATATTTGAGTAAACGAGGTAAGAGTTATCGGAGTGTTGTTTTTAGTTTGAGATAGCTTAAGTTACTGATGTGTTGAATTCTGACCACACCAAGATACTTTACAACATTAATTTGACTCAATTTTTATACACTAAACCTGAATGGTGAAATTCACCCTTAAGCTATTCCTACACACTGAGTACCTAACTGTAGAAGCACGATAAAACAACTGACATTGCTTACACAGTACGGCATTTAGTACGCAACGATAATAATTTAAGTTGTACACGTTTTTTTTAGAATAAAAACGTATGTCTAACATTTTGCACTGTATCAAGTTGGCAACCAAAATATAGGTTCAGAACATATAAAAAAGAAATACAATAAAACCTAACAAAGGCAATGATACTGTTTTGTTTTCGATATCTAATGAAACACAATAATGTGCATAACAGAATAGTGGGCTAGCTCCTGTAGCCTAGATTCATTGTGGCAGTGGTTTAAATAATAATAGGTTAATGTATGACCAAATTTTCTGGCTTCCGTCTCTCTGAGTAACAATCCACCTTCAGCCTCATACTGTACCGTACTGTTCCCCATTTACCAAAATCGCCAATTTAAGATGTTAGACAAAATTTGACAATCCCTGACGATTTTGAACTATTTTTCTTAACACGCCACAATTGCTCTGTTCTTTTTTGTGTCAACGTTTGACATTCACACCTAGCTGACACCATGATATCTCACACTCGCAGAATATTCAAAAATTGGTTAGAAAAGTTATTTCCTTCAAACCTTTTGCGACAATTTCCGATTATTATTAGTTATTGTATTATTTTTTTAAGAAATAACATAAAACACAAGTAAATTAATTACACATGTTCAGTACGGTACCGTACCCTATGATTTTATTTACATCATTATTACATACATACCATATATGGGGAGCGAGCTGGTCAAGTGGTTAGAGCGCGGGACTCCGGTTTCTGGGGTCCCAGGTTCAAACCTCGCCAAATGACCAATGGATTTTATCTAAGTAATATTGCCGTAACCCCTAGGTCTAGCCTGAAGTAATGTGAAAAAATTTCTAGGCTCGTGCCTAGTATAGGCCTATAGGTATGTACTGTAAGTTATGTTATGAAAAAAGCCGAGGCTCAGCAAAACCCTGCAGTAAAAATAGCAAAAATACTTATTCAAGTGATCACAAAAAAGCCTAGGTTGAATTATTTGTTGGAATGTAGGCTACCGGCTGTTTTAAGCCGTATTATTGACTTTCGTGGTAAGTTAATTGACTTGGCCAAGTTTTTAGGGCAACAAGTTTTAAATAGAGTTGTGATGGACCAATATATTAAAACATTGTTTGGAGATAATTTAATTGAAGAATAGTCCTAACTTAGGCTATTAATGAATTTAAAATGCTTAATTTTAGTTACGGTAGGCCTAGATGATGGCGTACCTGATGAACTGTTGTTTTGAGTATTTGATGTATTGAGATGCTGTGATGGAGTGGAGTTGCCATTGGTCCTGTGATTCTCCGATGTCTGTGAATTGGTAGATCCATTTATATCCACCTGCGGAGGTTGGCTTCCATTTATGTGATGGACCAAACCCAGACCATTCATCTGAAGCATGTTGTTGAATGCCTCATGGTGGTCTGGCATACCTAATCCTTCCATGCCCAAACTGAAACAGAATAAAGGAATCATTTTATTTATTTCAGGCATTTCCACTAGCCATCACTCTGAGTTCAGCGATGTTTGGGATGGCCGCTTTCATTGCTTGGCAATGCAATACCAGGGATATTCAGTAAGTGAGCAGTTTTATAAATAAAAGTAGGCCTACCTATATAAGTAATAGGCGTTAAGATTTAAAAATAAGTTATTAAATCAAATATTTTGCCTATGAAGTTTCTTTTGAACCCAAGGAAATGGTAGGCTAGTAACTTATGTTCAATAAGTATCTTGACTGGTTCACTTTGTTAGAAACTTATTTGTATTTGTTTTAGTTCTGTAAGTAGACCTAACTTACAACAGTGCCCGAAACTTATTAGACTAATAACTTAACAATAACTTGTCAAAGAAAACTAAGAATAGGCCTAACTTGTCTTAAGCAAAGGTATACTGTGCCTAACAAAAACGTCTAACTTAGTTAGGGCTCAGAGTACAAGGAGTTAAGTTAGGCTAGGTAGCCTAAGTTAAGTTGAAATGCTTAAGTTAAACATTTTTTTATCTAAGTTTACAAGTTTGTCTTAGCCTAAGTTTCTCATTTTTTTACAAAATATTACAACAGAATAGTGAAACTCATAAAAAATACATAAGTAGTTGGACCTATTTTAATTTTTTACAACAATGATGAAGTAGTGTAAGATGATAAATATAGATTAGGGGGTAGGAGGGTAGAAAGGGGTGGGTGGGGTTGCGGCAACGCATGCGCTAGGGCAGCTGAAAATCCAGGTCTTTTCTCATCCCAGGCTAGAGCCGACACACAGAGATCAGTAGTTTGTTGGTGTTTCAGGGTGAACAGACGGAGGAAACCGATCAACGAAAGAGTCGACTTACTGAACCCACGCACCCTCAAGGTAAGTGTGAGCCTGGGATATTGTCCTGTCACAGCAGTATTGACCAGTGTGAGTGTACTGCTGTTGCGGGACATAGTCCTAGTCTCGCACCAGTCGTCCCTCGTTCCTCCGAGATCGATACTGTTCGCCGGTCAACAACCTTCTCACCGGGACAAAAATTAACTATTCAGTGTTTATAAAGTGAAACTAAGTGCAAAGTGGTGTACCGTTAAAATTATTATTAGTTGAAATCATCTGTGTACAATAGTTATAGGTTATGTGTCCTAGACTAATGATGAAGTAAGAAAAGTGTGGTGTTTAATGCAAGACTCTGTCGCTCAGAGCGCTGTTGTCGTAGTGTTATTGATTGTTAGTGTTGCCGTTGCCACCTAACTTATTTAGTTCACAACGAAATATAAATGGTTTTTGTTTAAACTTACTGATTGTAGCTTATAGAAAATTAAAATATGATAATATAAATAAGTATAAACAACTAAAAATTAAGTCATTTCATGATTGATACATTGTAACGAAGATGACTGTTACTAGGCCCTAACCCTGCTTTGACGTTTTGTTTAGCTGAAAATCGTATTGCAGTAATTTAACACAATTAATCTCTTGTGAAAATGTAATGTAAGGATTTAAAACTTATTGGTAAAGGTGATATTCTTTATAACTTACTTTTACTAAGAAGAAAACTGCCTGCACTTGGTCTAACAACGTTTTACAAAAATGTAACCTTACGGTTTGGTTGAAATTCAAGTGAAAGACTTCTTCTTTATTTCATTTACAGGAAATACTGAGTTAGCAGGGACAGTACATAGAATAAGCAACATAGATTAAACCCGTTTACTTTTGGTTATAACGGAATAATTGGTTTTGTAACTTACAAAAATGTGCTTAATAAACCTATTATGATGTTAATATTTAATGGCAGGTGTTTCATAAGGAAAAACTAATTTGTCGGATACACATGATTACTATTTTAAAAGGCCTGCTGTATATATTCTATAACCTTGTGGTAGACCTACTTTATTGTTTGTTTTAAACAGCATTATGGTTAGGCTTACGGTTGTTAGCGCTGATTATGGATGCGATGTATAATCATGAAAATCAATAGAATAAAAAAAACTGACATTTCGCGTTATAACTGAGGAAATAGTTTATTAAATTGAAACCAACAATAAATATTTTTGTAATTCATGTTCAATAACAATAAAAAAATAGGTATGCATAAGTGTCATAGAGTTAAATCCATATACAATTTTGATATTTTGAAGCATTGTATTGATTGAAGCTGTCCACTGAGTGACGGTGAATCACCCTAGCCTCTCCCTCCCCATTCTCTTACTCATTCTCATTCTCTTCCTCATCCCCACATCCTATCCCCCCCCCCCACCAATGTACGATTTAAAAAATTCATTTCCCCTTACATTAGACTAATTTACTCTAAATAAGGAAAGTAGTAGCCTACCGATAACTTAATACATTTTAATCCTCTCGCTTGTTAGTTTATTAACTAATTTGGTCGGTTTATCTTAAGAAAACAGTGAACAAAGTTCTAGATGGAACCATGGATCAAACATACTCCCTAGGGGAGTATGTTTAATCTATGATAGAACGTATAAACAGCAGGCCTAGGATACGATTAAAACAGTATGTAGTATACTTAGTATAGAGATGAATAATTAATTGTAAATTCTAAAGAAATAACAGCCTTATTCTTATGCCAACATTTAAGCCAGGTAAAAATAAAAGTTAATTTTAAAAAGGTATGAATGAATTGATAATAATGCCATATTTCACAAAGTGCTATTATTATAGTCCAAGTTATTTTTCTACATGGTTCAATATAAATTATTGTTGGTCCGATAATAATGTCATACAAAAAATTAAAAACCTACACACAAAATAAAAAAATCAGATTTTAAAATTTTAAACGATCATCATTATAACTGACCAATGCATGTATTTACAATTACAACTTAAGGGTTTTTAATCATTTTTAGCGAATTTCCCATATAGGGAATAAGCTATTGCCGTAGGTCTCATGGTAAGACCTAGAACCGGGAGCGATTTACTTTTTCATTTTGAGGTCCCTATAGGCCTAAAACACCATCCGTTCAAATTTATATATATATATATACATATATATGTATATATACATACATATATATATATATTTATATATGTGTCCGTTAGCACGATAACTCGAGCAAAAATGATCCAATTCTGATGAAATTTGGTATAAACGTGTAAACTTACGTTTAATTGAACGAGTTCGCGAACCAGCATGATCAGACCATGGGAATGGGGGTTTATGGGGGGTTTTATGGGGTAAAAATGGGGTTTTCCCATTTTTGACCCGAAAAACATAAAATTTTGCAATTTCTTTCCAAACTATTTTGTAGAGCTTAAAAAAACAAATAATTTAGTATATTGAAGCGTTATAATGCGCCTAATGGTTACGGAGAAAATTCCAAAAATTGTATATTTAAAACTCCCATGTTATTCTTATGGAGAATAAATAAACTGTTGTAGTTTGCTTGTTTATGGATATATTTTAATCAAATTTGGCAATTTGGTTTATTTCAAACTAAGCTATCAATATTTCAATAAAAAACACACACACCTCAATATCTTCCCCGTAGCAGCAAACCTAACTACTCACTAAAATTAATGTTATTTAAATAGGAAATAAATCTGAAAATGTATAGGGAATATTTTATCAGAAATCAAGCCGAGTAAATGGAAATTCGCTTAGTATGCAGGTTTGCTACGACGGGGGTATTGTGAACATCAAAATTAGCAAATTTAAAACTGAAGGGTGTTTATGCAGCATTCCTTTTGTGACTCTTCTCAATGGAAGCAAATCAAGGAGTTTTTTTTTACCAGCTGTAGGAATTGCAAAGAAAATATAACACATCACACTAGTGTAGCTAAGTTATTTGTCACATAGGCTGTTAAAGTTTTAACTAAGTTAACTTAAAACAAACTCAAATTAATTTAATAAAACTCATTTTACACTATAGACTAGTACAGTATAAAAGTACTACCTAGGTGATACATTAGGTGACCTGGAATAAAATATTAACAACAGAGCAACCCATTTTACCCATTTCTTTTCTTTCAAGCTGAAAGCCAAAATTCACCTACGGTTAAGAAGAAGCAATATGATGGATAAAGAAATTAATTAATCTCAAGAAGAAATACATCAATACAAAATATAGTCTTGTATAAGTAGTGTGTCTTTCAGATCAATAATGTCTAAATTCTAAATATAGATTTGACTAGGAAATTATTTTTGTCATTTACTGTAAATATTTTGGTACAGTTATGAAGTAAATACTCATAAGTTTACCTCCATTAATCAAACAAACTCAAGAAGACTAGCCTATTAACGCATTTCCCATATAGGGAATAAGCTAAGGGAATATTTTAGTATAAATCCTGTCCGGTAAATGGAAATTCGCTTAGTCTGCAGGTTTTCTGTGGCGGGGGTATATTTATATTATATTTATGTTCTTAGGCCAAAGTATTTACAAGTGTAAATAAATAACTTTTAACATACACATTATCTTAAAAATAAAAATATAAGAGGCACGTAAACAAGGCATGCATATTGTTCACAAATACTGTAAATTAGGAATAAAATATATACCTAGTGCATATTCTTATGATGTGATCCTTTTAAAAGATAAATTAGTTGCAGTCAGCTTGTTTATGACATTCTATCTTATTAAATTTGAAATATTAGGTTTTAATATATGTGGCTTTTGCAATTTAACAAACATGTTTTGTGTTGCTTAATGCATAACAAACAACTAAGTGCCACAACAACAAAGTTATTATCAAGTGATAACACCAATCCAAAGTGTCCTCTTTGTCTATGTTACATATATGTTACATATATTGCACAAAGCATGAAGGTGTTAATATACTTTTGTGATCGACTTCTTTGAATTAAACCACAATAAAACGAGTGGGAAATCTTTCCTGCGACAGGGATATTTTGTTTTAGCGAATTTCCCATATAGGGAATAAGCTATTACTGTAGGACTCATTATAAGACCTAGACCCGGGATGGATTTACTTTTTCGTTTTGAGGTCCCCTGAGGCCAATAACACCATCCGTTCAAATTCATATGTCCGATGACTGTTATAAAATAATTTAATGTTATTAGCACGATAACTCAAACAAAAATTATCGGATTTTGATGAAATTTGGTATAAACGTGTAAACCTGCATTTATTTGAACGAGTTCACAAACCAGTGAGATCGGACCATGGGAATTATGAATGAGGTTATGGGGTAAAAATGGGGTTTTCCCATTTTTGACCTTAAAAAGATAAAAGTTTGGAATTTCTTTCCCTACCATTTTGTAGAGCTTAAATAATACCCCCGCTTGATTTTCAATTGATTTTTTATTAAAATATCAATAGCTTAGTACAAAATAAATAAATCCACCAAGTTTGATCAAAATATATCCATAAACAAGCCAACTACAACCTTTTTTTAAAATTCTCCATAAGAATAACATGGGAATTTTTAATTAACAATTTTTGGAATTTTCTCCGTAACCAATCACCATACAAAAACACTTTGATATACACATTTTTTTTAAGCTCTTTAAAAAGGTCTAGAGAAAAATTGATAAATTTTGTGTTTTAAGGGTAAATACCCCGGCCGCAGCAAACCTGCAGACTAAGCGAATTTCAACTTGTCTGATTACATTTTTACTAAAATATTTCCATAAATAGGACATATTTGTTCCCTATTTAAATAACATTAGATTTTACAAGTGCTTAGGTTTGCTGAGACGGGGAATGTAAAAAGTGTTGTTTTGACCATACGTCAATAGTATAGGATGAAATAAATAAATTTGCCAACTTATTAAATTTATGTGTTCATTAAATTAATATATATGAGTTCATATGTCAGTAGCTTTTATTTTTGAAGCTCATTATACCTATATGTAAGTTCAAAATGTTTCAATATCAATGACCCTATATACACCAAAATATAGAGTAGAACGTAGATCCTTACTTAGTCCTGCACCACATATTTATTGGTTTAATGGTTTATTCAAACTAAATAGGCCTACCCTTTTTTACTTCTTTTGTGCCCTACTTGTTGCAAATTATTAAGTCGTAGTAGACTGTTGTCAAAGACATCACAGAATACAGATAAGAGCAAGTTAGACATATACAAAAGTGAAACATGAAAAACTTAAAACATGTTAAATTGTGTTAAATAAATGTTTTTGAAAGGCTGTCCTAGAGGAGAGTAATTAAAATACCCCCGCCGCGGCAAACCTGCCGTCTAAGCGAATTTCCATTTGCCTGAATTTATTTTCAATGAAAACCAATTTACATAACATGAGTTTTAATGAGTATCTAGGTTTGCTGCTACAGGGAAACTATTGTGTGTTTTAGTAAAATATTAATATCATATAAAATAAATAAATTTGCCGAGTTTGATCAAAATATACCCATAAGCAAGCAAACTTCAACATTTTACATTATTCCCCATAAGAATATCATGGGAATTTTGAAATTAAATTTTTTGAATTTTCTCCGTAACCAATAACCGTTCAAAAATACTTTGATAAACTGAATTATTTGTTTTTTATGCTCTTCAAAAGGGTCTAGAGAGATATTTTGAATGTTTTTGTTTTGAGGGTCAAAAATGAGAAAAAACCAATTTTTACCCCATAAAACCCCGTTCCCATGGTCCGATCATGTTGGTTTGCTAACTAATTCAAGTTTATCCCGCCTTACATCTTAAAACCAAATGTCATCAAAATCGGATAAAAATAACTCAAGTTATCGTGTTCATGGCCAAGGCTACACAAACACATTATAAAAATTTGAACGAATGGTGTTTTTTTGCCTCTGGAGACATCAAAATGAAAAAAATTAAATTGGTCCCGAGCCTAGGTCTTACCGTGCCACAAACGGTAATAACTACTTCTTATAGCTAATTCGCTAATAGAACATTACTAGTTTAGGTAATTTATGATTCTTGAATTAATGACAACATTTTTAAACACTGTACAATAATGTTCATGTTAATTATGTTTAGTTTAAAATCCAATAAATAAAATCCAAGCCAATAAATCCAGTGCGGAAATTCTGACAGTAACCCATATTTATTACAATTAATTATACATACTTTGTAATTTATATTATTTTTATTTTGAATTTCTGCCAATTAATTGTTTGGGCCAACACTGCAACAACGAACGCTATTATGTAACTGAATCTATAGTCTCAGATTTTTCATTTTCAACTAATTAGGCCTCTCATTATTTCATAGTAATAAGAGTTTATTTTTTAATTGTGCTCAAAATTTAGTCACTAAGCCCAAATTCTGATTTGATTGATCAGTCGAGACCCCAGCAAGGAGGGTCCTGAGAACCCTCTACTTCAGTTGAATGCTGAATCGTCATCGCCAAGGACTACCAAATACGTGTTTGTCAATAAAAAGCGCTACGTCGAGGTCTTTGGTCTTTCAACAGCCACGTACTGATGTTTATCACCGCTGCGCTTGGCCTTATCATCTTATAAAGGACGAAGAAATACAAGTTATGTAAAAAAACCAATTCGCACATTATATTAGGCCCGCAATAGTTGATCGCTGCCTCAAGGTCATGTCAGTAATGACTAGCGTTCAACACTATTGATCGGCCATTCATTAGCCTCCTCGCGATAGTGTTTTTAGCGTAGGAATTTATCCTAGACAATACCATTCAAAGCACTTGTTCCCCACCCACCCAGTTCATATGAGAAAATAAACCGAAAATAATATACAAGTGAGTTATGGCATTTTCGCGGGAACTTGACGCATCGTAGTGGAAAGTTTATAAATTTTGCTCCTCAGAGGGAAGTGGACTGATTAATTAAAAATGTTACATCAACAATTAATTGCAATGGGGGGGGGGCTTTAAATTGTATTTGTATCCCACAAATTACCGGTCAATAGTTGTTTCCATTTATACAAAAATCATTAGTTACCCCCTAGAATCTCCTTATATTTGGACTAAGTCGGCCTAATGGTGTATCAGCTGTGCTATATGCGGTTACAAAACATCTTCCGCACTTGTGACAAGCTATATTAACCCCTTATTATTATTACAGCCACAGTGTAATCTACATTGGTCCAACGATAAAATATTCACGCTATGGAAAACGGATAAACCTCTGTTCGGTGTTAAAAACTGCATTAATGCCCGGAGCCCTCATGTTGGCCTTTGAATTAAACATCACACACTGGTGCAGCCACCAAACTACTATATATTACCCTCATTTTGTACGGACCGCCTACTTATATGTTAACGACCAGTTGCCTCCACTGTATGTATAGCATAGCGTAAATATCCGTAAATAGCTCACATAGGCCTAATACATCGCTATTATATCGCATCATCGCGACCTACGGATTGTCGGAGGCATAATATGATCTGTAATCGCTTTCTGACCAGTTTCTTCACATTTTGCATTACATTGTTTGAGTTTAGGTTAATATGCATTTGGTTCTCTATAAAAATCTGCCATTTACCTGCATAACAAAACAACGGAGTAGCACTTTACCACCTCGTATAATTTTTGTTGTAGCAAATAATTTTCAATGGCAATAATTAATTATTGGTATTTAGAGTGTTATTCCAATTTCCTTTTCTTCATATTTTATTCCAAACGGAGTTTTTACAATATTTTATATTAATGGGAAACTACTTATTTTGTACCTTATCCCCTTCACAGGTTGTGAAATAAATTAGTAAACTACTACATCCGTTATCTAGTAAATCTTGCTCTACCATACGCTACAAAGTTAACTCAAACTATCTAACCTTTTATTTCCATACAATTCCATGACTCTTGAAATGGTTCTAAAATGTTCTGAAAAAATATTCTGATTGTCCGAGTGCGAAATAGAACAAAGCTTGCTCTCTGTGATTGGTCAGTTCCTGAAAATTATAGAAATCAATTCTATTTTAGTTTTATAGTGTAGGTCTGTAGTTGGCAAATATTTAACATTTGAAAATATGATTTGTAAGGACATTAATCATATTTTAATGTCAGGGTTTTATGATAATAACCTATATATTATAAATTTTAAAGGATTTTATGACAACAAACGCCTTTTTAACGCCATTTCAGAATAATGTTTCGCGGGATTTTTCTGAATATTCACTATCAATGTATCACGCATGAGTAGACAAAGAACTCTAAGGAGAAGAGGCGGGTGAGAAGGACTGTCGGATGTAGCCCGTCACACGACACCTGGACTCTCACTTCCGCTAACCCCCAGCTGCAGCATCCTCCGTACTCACACACGGCCTGCGATGTATCGATTGTTTGGCTAAGAGATCGGTTATGCAAATTGAAGGTTGAGAAGTTGTTATGTTAGATTATTCGGGTACTCGGCAAGAAATACATTGAAAACAAGCTCTGTTTAGTACTGACTTGCTAAATACTTCTGGATCGCTGTGCGTGATGACAATACTACCTCGTACTGTATAATGAGTACTGTACTCATAAATTAAAGTACAGGACCAGGACACACTCTTATCTAAAAGAGTTACATGTTTTAGTTTGGGAGTTTAAGTGGGTAATCAAGAAATAATGATCATTAGATCGAAAAAAAGTTATGTCATTTACTAAATTTGGTAGGCCTAGGTTTCTGTTCATTAAAACATTTAAGTTGCAAGTAAACCTGTTAGAATGTATAGAGTATAGACACAGTCACCAAGTATGAAGTACCCCAGCTCTGATACCTGGTTAGCTACGTCACCATTGACCATAGCAGATTGTCATTACATTAGTATTGTTGGCGGAGTGGCGCACGTAACACTGAGCCTCAGCCTAGTACTGCCTAGCTAGTGCCTAGTGTTCGTGCTCGTCAAGTGAATTAATCCTGTTTGCGGGATAGGATTGTGGGTTGTCTGAGGGGCTTCACTGTAAGCCGAAGCTGTAGGAAGGCAGATGTATGTGGCTTCTCAAGCCCCACACGTCCGTCACACTTCCGCATATCCATCACAAACAATCTTACACCTTCATCAATTACACATTATGACTAATTGTAGCTAACTGATCAAAATCTACATCTTATAATGACTTTAACATTTTTCTTTTTTTTCAAATTTCAGTTCATTTTTTCAATAACATCATATGACAGCTCTAAACATAGCAAAATTAAATCAAAGAAACTTTCCAAGCTTAGGTCCAACTACAAACAGTATTTGTATGATAAAAACACTGAATTTTACATTGTCATTTCCTAGTTTTTAACGTGATTTTTTTATATAATAATGTGACATTTATAAGTTAAAAATACTTAATTGTAGACATAACTACTGGACAAATAAAAAATCGTCAACCCAGATCTTGAAACACATAACTAGGACACACTATAGAAACAGTTATACAAGAAAGATTAACCAATGTAATGGTAGAAATGTCTTCTAAGAAACATATATATCTTTAAAAGAGCCAACGTTCACTAAAACGCACAAAAACAAAAATAAACAATGCTTCAATGACTAATCGATAAAATTCGTAAACTCTAAAAACCAATCTGTAGGCTATACATTTCAACAATGATAGTACAAAAATCAATAGCTCAACAAAATACAAAGACATCTATAAAACTGATAAAACTCGTGTAGAACATCTAGGACTGGCCCCACTACGGAGTATGTAACCTTCTATGGATGCATGTATCTACAGTGTGCTATATCTACCGTAACCGCGGCCTACCGCCTACCGCCTACGTTAGTATACATGTATATAGTGTTAGTGTTTATACTGTTGACGGCCACGGCCTCACGCTAACCTCTAGACCTAGTGCAGCAGCAAGCCGACATGACAAATCAAGTGTTATACAGCACAAGCACCTCATCACATCATCTGAACCTACTACTTGTATACACACTCTGGCCAATCCGGTCCGACAGGGTAAAACATACAAACTAACAAACGCTCCATCTAATACAATTTAAATCAATCGGTAAAATATAAAATTATCCTTCAAATGTTTACGATATTTCTGGACACTGAATTTACACAAAACTAAACGATCGATCTTAAATTATCTCAAAAATGAAATGGGAAACTATGTGAAATACACTTATATCTAGGAAACATAGAACTATCAAGGTAGTATGAAGTCAGTTGTCTTTGGCGGTCGAGCGGCTACGTTCTACTGACATGCAACCTTCTGAAGACGACTTGACGTAGGCCTACGCTACGGTGTACTGTGTTATAGGTACGTTGGTTAGTATCAAACATCAACTTGTACAGAACAGCTACATTACAAGGCTTCCTACGCAAGACCCGGACCCGACGATGGCGTTACCTTATACTCGTCGTATCCTGGGGGTCTGATGGGGTCTAACTGATGGGGTCTCGGAAGTAACCGCACCCCTGCCTCATCATCATCATCATCATCATTCCTCATCGCGCTTTAACCACAAATAAATACACCTTAGATTGTAAAAGTCATCACTACTCAACAGCTATAACTAAACATCAATTAATTACGGTAAACGCTTACTGGAGCACACACTTATATATTGGATAGAATTACTACAATTAATTAATAAATAGCTTAATGTCAGAGAACAGAAGAGATCCGTCTGTTCGAATAAAAAATAAAACAACGTCGACTATCTCGGTGAAAACAATCTACTTCAGGGACTAAGGCACAGAGTATAATTATTAATTGTATGTTATTTGTAATGTTATTTAAAGTTTTACAAAAATTAATCTCCTTGGTTTTTGCTGCGCGAAAAGTTCTACATGTGTTGGTTGAATGTTAGAAAATACATATGTGATTGTGTCGTTAGCTCATTCAATCACTACTCGTTGTACAAACACTGATAACTAGTAAAACAGCGAGCCTCGTTTAATTGAATATACAATATTACACCTACAAACTGCGACGCCACATCACTGCTCTCGACGGCGAGGTTAGCTACAGATTGATGAAATCGCTACTTGTGAATCTTGTCTTTGCACGAAAGCCGGGTCTGTTGTTCGTGTTGGTCGAATCACAGATTCAATAACTTTCAACACGCATTGTTAGTGTTGCACAATTTTGTTTATAGTAACTGTAAGTTAAAAAAAGGAACAATTGAAAATGTGGTGTTGCTGTAAATCAGCTAACACAATTAGTAACTGTGGGCTTATATGCAGGTAGGTAGGTAGGAGTGGTACAGCTGTTGATATTGACACAACGACCGGAGAACGGACAGCTAAAGTTTACCTTTCATTACGCTGGGACTGAGAATGGTAACCGCAATAATGTGATAACGTGATTCACTACAATTACAATGCATTATAAGCGGTTAGAGCTGGATTATTTAACAAGGGACATCCGGAAAAATAATATAGACGAATCCGAATCCTTCCTGTTTATTACTTGACCGAGGTACCGAAAACACGGGAACGGCAGACGCGAGAGGGATCCATGGGTCGCCATTTTACATTTTTTCATAGAGGGGCTCCGCGCCCCCCTGACCTCGCTGCGGCAGACCTACTACGTCGCGGTCCGTCTCAAATATATATAACTAGAGGCTCTTTGGAGTTTGGACTAAGTATTAAATAATGCAAAACAGTGCTAATTCGGTTGACACTAGCACTGTGGCGGAGAGTCCGTCGGTGTAACACCAACTACATGTATCCAAGTAGGGCAGTGTATAGTGTAACATAGTGCAGAACCAAGTTGACTGACGCACAGCATTGTGCGGCGTACATTGGCTTATTGATTGGACGTGTATTGTACATACAAGGTGCAGGCCATACAAAGTCAAACTCCGTCCAGAGGTGTCTGTGTAACAATTGTACCGGCCCGGTAGTATCACAACCAACCTAACAATTTTAACCTCGCAACAAACTGTCGATAGTTGCTACACAATATTTACTACTGTATGAGCACGAGCTAAACATTCGTTTTCACGTGGTACAAACAACGAATAGTGCATGTAACCGACAAAAACTGAGCGTACTTATTAAGCTAGAGTAAGTCGTATAATTATGTTTTAGTTGAGTTTTTACGAAAATGCAGACGTGATACTGTAATGCAATTATTTCGGCATATATTTTCTTAGGCGCCTATGGTTGTTATAAAAGCGCCGATCTGGTCGGTGGGTAGACGGTCGGCTGTTGGTTCGGTTCGGTTCGTGTATAGTGTGTGTGTGTGAGTGTGGTGGCTGCAGCTGGTCGTGGGGCTTTGTCGCTGCCACTCTACCAGCTGGGCCTTTGTTGGACCCCGCACCACATCCACATCACACAACACTCAAACCTTCAACCTCATCCAGCATTTGCCAACAACTGAACACTGAACTAGTATAGACGTTTAAATCAAATGTATGATGGCATGTTAAAAGGCGTTTAGCGCGACTGAGGTGCAACTACAGCTACTCCAAGATGACAGAGTTGCTGACTTCCCACTGTGTAAGGGCTCTGCAGAGTTAACATCGTATAACTCTATGACGATAACGTGATGTACTTGCTCCTCTCCTCCTCTTAACTTTGCTCAGAACATACCAGATGCCACAAACATCGATTGCACTGGATTAATGAAGTTCAACGTTAACTAATCTTCATTAAATTCTCATAAAACGAACAAGTCAAGGGGTTTAATTAGAGTGAAATTAGTACAAGGAAATATCACTTACAAAGGATTTTTACATTTCCCCTGTTCGTCGACAAAGTAAAAACACTCAATAGTTACTTTTGAAACTTTTTGTCAACCACAGTTTAATATTTAGATGAATAAAATGTCCGAAATTAAACATACCTTACTAGTTTAGATTAATTAAAAGTTAGTTGACAATTGACATGTAACTGGATTGTTGTATGTAGCTGAGGATAGTGGAGCATGGTCCTGAGCCTGTGCCCGAGCTACACTCTATCTACCGACAGATGGAGGAGGAGAGAAGACGCAGAATGGAGGAGATGGAGGCCATGAGACGACGACAGGCCAAGAGGAAGGCCAACTAACCGTAGAGTAAAGCCACGCTGGTCCCTTTGGTCAAATTGTCGTTACAAGATGCGAATAACCATTAAATTGTTTTACCAACCTTAGTTCATGTCTTTCTTTAAATTACGTTCGGTAAACTTTACTTTACAACAATAACTGAACAAAAACTAATTAAATGAGTTATGGATATGTAAAATAATATAAAAACAGCTGGATTCTCTTTACGATTAGGTTGCCATTCTTAGCCTACACACTGGACGATAGGCCAACGTTGCCACAAGGAGTGACTGCTAGATAAGGCATTAGCATACAAGACGGGTAGTATCGGACAATTAGGGGAATCAAAGACAGTGATATAGAGTCAGAGTAGTCCGACAACACGCAATACAATACACGCCATACTCTACACTCCATGTTCATACCCGCGCTACGCCACATGGCTAGCCCGAACTGTAAGCTATTTCAAAACGCTTCATTTTATAAAAACTCGAAAAAAAGAATAGGCGAGCCTAGAAACCAACACAATAGGCCAGCGTTCCGCGAAGGGTAGCTCTGCCCTTCTTCGAAATCCCGCCACCCCTTGTTGGAAGCTTGGGGCAGGTCAAACAACTCACATTTACATCCAGCCAAAATAGCAAACCATTACCCTGATTTTTGTATTCCTACTTTATTAACTGATCATAAAATTCAGTTTAAACCTTTCAACGAATATAATTGAAGTTAATTCCGGGGTACAGTACCTGATCCCCAAGTAGTTTCGATCACAAGAAGTCGATGTAAATCGAAATAAGGCTAACAAATGCAATTTTCTATTGGATTATGATTTTAATAGCTATTCATAAAAAACAAGCTACTTTAATTGAACCGGTGTCAAAACCAAACCCCAAACCAAAGTAGTGGAAAGGACTTATACCCTTTACTTGAAATTAAAACTCCAGACCTTAACAACATTGTGAGAAATTTAATTTAATTGGAACAAACTTAATCTTAAACTAAAAATGGACCTAATTGGATTAGTATTACAAGTTTTTAACTAGTCCCCTATCTCACATAAAAGTTAAAGACAGATTTCTGGTGTATATAACGTTTGATAAATGTATAAGAATAAGATTTTAACGATCCAAGTCCGTTACAATAACTGCTATGGGGGATGTCAAGTAGTGTGCTCCAATAAGACTTGGTGGAAGATGCAACTTACCTAGTGGGCAGACGTAGAGCTGGCTGGGGATACAGTTTGGCGGCCACTGCGACGACTTGGTAAGATCTGAACACAAAAGTCGCGGTTAGAAACAAAACTAAACTGAACGTATCAAGACTGACTACTGACTGCACCAATATAAGTATAACACTAGTAGAAGCTGAAGCTCTAGAAGCGAAGGCACGGGAGCGAGTGTCAGGGTGGGAAGGGGACGAGGGGAGCTTCCCCCTCCAATGCCACCCCTCGCCATGAAGCCCTACAACAAAGAACGTGGGCTCAGGGCACATGGTCCCTCAAGGTGATCCCGTCTCACCCCTGTGTTGCATAACGGGACAAGGACGTTATCCCTTGCCTCACCAGTCAGCACCACGATAAAAAGTAAAAGTTTACTTAATTACCCATCAGAAACCTATCTTGACACCACGTGTCTTATGTGCAAATGAACTATTGGTTTGAATCTACCAGGTTTCGACTATGAGGATTGGTGATAGGAACTTTGCAATTGGATTAAACAGACAATAATTTAGCAAAATGTGTAAAATCAATTCTGAAGATAGCAGAATATCAGAGTCCACGTATGTCTTAGTTGTAAAATAAAAATAACAATGCTATCTGCAATCTGCATATGTATTTTAAAATCGTCAGTTACCAATATGTGTTTGAACTATTCATGTAGCTCGCAATCTAAAAAATCGCTTACTATTATAGCTAACATACTACTTACGAAACCAGAAGAGTAGGTACAGTAATATTTCTCAGAATATGGTTCACTCTGTAAATATTATTTGATTTTCACAGAGACTAACGTTCGCACAAACACAAAATGTCCCTAAAGAAATCCTTTGTTTATTTTAATACAACAATCGAGAAATTGACAAAATCAGCTGCAGCTATAAAGCTTGATTTGTTTCACTGCCTCCTAAATTATTAATCGACTTTCAGTAAGTTAGTTGAATTTTTGAATATACTGTATAACAACATTCAATAGTCTTATATATTCAATGGTCAATGGCTTAACTGAAAGTTAAGATATAAAAACTGCAAAGGGTGAAGTCAGGTTAACATTTACTAAACAAATTTAGGCTTACCTTAATAATAAAAACATTTTCATAATCCATTTTACAGTGCTGCACTAAAGTTTACATGTTTTTTGGTAAGAGTGCTACATGACTTTGGAAGATAGCGGGAACATACGCGTAATGGAGTGGTGGAGGATTTACAGGATAATAGCAATTTGGGTTATGTCGGGCGGATTATAAGTATTCCTTGTTACACTATCACGATGTACAAATATCATTTGTTTAGCCTTATGATTCGGTTACATTCGTCTGATTGGGTACACATTGACGTGGACATCAAACCCTTTATATCACACTATTTATAATTCATTGTTAGATTCATTGATGGTTTTTACTGGTCACTTAATAGAAAATGTATTCATACTATTTTTTTATTTGTTGCAAATATAGGTTTTCAACAAATAAAATAGTATAATGAGAAGGGACATAGAGCCAAGATACCCAAGTGTGCTTAGCTGATTGTTCTACGACACTGCAATGAGTAAAAACTCCATACTCTTTGGAACGCCCTTCTGACGTCAGCAAAGATAGTCTATTGCAGTACCGAAAAATTCATAATTTAGATCACCGTGGTATCTTTGAGTCTATCACTGTTGCAGCTGATACCGACGACAAGCAGTATCAATTCCATGCCATGTCTCTGACAATTAAAATGGGGTAATTCATTGGTTACTTAAGTTAATACGCTAATTACAATAAAGACACACTTTTAAAGGATTTATAAAGAATTTTACCAAGTATGATTTGGTGAGTTGTTATATAAGTGAATTTACATTCACTGAGATTTAAATATGAACCATGTTTTTAAACACAACTTGACGTTTTTATATAAGTAGTTTTAAACGTTGATACTTCCATACAACATAATTCTAAACGTTTTAAACATGTTTCACCGTTAATATAATTGCTAAACTTGTTTTACTTATTGATTCAATAACAAGTGGTTTACCGTAAAAGGTTATATAACATTTAACAATAATTAATTGGTACCAATATATTTCAAACAATATCCTGATTAGATCATATATTTTACAGTTGCATATTTTACTTAGCTGCAGCACTTATTCTGATTCCGATTAGAAATACTTGCCAGTTTCTTTTTTTTAAATTCTTCCAATATTAGGCTTAGCACGAGTAAATAAAGCTCATTTACAATTTTTAATAAAGTATTGTGTGTTTATAAGTCTTTGATTGTGGCCTAATTATTTTTAATTTTTGATTACTTTTAGTGTAATGTAGTAAGGTTATGAAAAATGAACGTTTAGTTTTAGCATAGAAAAAAAATCAAATATCCCTATGCTTGTCTATGGTTTTACCACTATGTATTCAGCAGGACAACGTGAAGTATGCCGTTGCAGTCACTGAGCCAGGCGTTGACGGCAATACCCGCAGCACAGTCCTGTACCTGTTTTGCCTGCAGACTCCTCGCTGTGATAGTGCGACACGTCGTTTGTAGACCTACTGTGTTGTATTGTCATAGATTAAACATACTCCCTGTATTCGTTAAGTGGAGGCAGATCAGTAGGCCTACTATTCTGCCATTGGCTATAGTGTTTATTTAGTCAATGACTCCACGCCCCAATGTCAATAATTGGCTATGAAGAGAAATAGACATTCCTTAAAGCTACAAACAGTTTTAGAACAAAAACGAATGTAGTTGAATGAAACCACCGACGCAATGTGCTGCTAATAGACCAATTCCTGTCGTTAAAATAGACTTTTTTATTGAAAGGGAAATTAACTGTAAGTTATGTAATCTTTTATAATACATCAATTTTGTCAAAGTACTGTATATAAATTCAACAGCAGTTGGTCCTTTGTGTACAGTCAATGCTACGACAGCCGGAGTTGGTACTGATTTGGTCATATCACCCTCACAGACCATTTCAGAGTGAGGCTATCGTTTATGGAGATAAGTTAATTCTGGTAGCTTGTATTGTTTATTGTATGTAATCGCGATTAGTACTAATTTTCAACAGTTTAGTCCCAATAATTTTGAAGGAACGTCTTCATTTTCGGCCATTTAATAAATTAACATAATGACAATCATCGCCCAAAAAGGACCATCCTGTTTAGTCGTGATATCGCATAACATATTGTCTAATACATGGTCCCATGTTTAACTTAATAAGCTATTTCAATAAAATAAATATAAATATTGGGTTATTTCAATGGTTCTTAATGCTACTGAAACTTTGTGAAACTAATAAACAAATGCAAACTACTTAAAATCTAAAATAAAACACCGAACTACAGATATTACGTAACTATCGATTATGGTATTTTTATTTACCCTCATCCCCACCTTTGGAATGTTAACGTTGTTTGCAAGGGATCTGCCCAAACCTTGGCTAACTGAACTTACAAAGTCCATAATAAAATTGCGTTTAAGACTTAAAATTGCGTTTTTAAAACTATTTGGATCCAGGAAGCAAATAATTTTAATGCAGTACCATTTTTTCAAGTGAGGCTGAATTTGATAGTAGAAAGGTTAAACCAATGAAAATTCTAATTTAAAAATCGTCAATTCGTTTTCAAACTAAAACCACAAAACATTAATTTTTAAGGTCACATTTATTTGAAAACATATACTGTATTTAAAAAATGTCAGTTTAAAATTTTGTTTTTTAAGTTTTAAAGGTTTGCTTTGTTTGGTCAGTAACGGTCTAACTTTTTATCTGACTACGACGTAACGTGGTCATGTTGTTACAATGAGTTCATCAAAAGCCTAATTACATACAATTGATTAGGAGTTTAGTCGGGCATTGTTCAAGTTAGTAACCCTTACATACGAGTAGGACAAAGTCAAAGACTAAGATTATCTTGTAGTTAGCGTGTTATATATTGCTATTTCGAGGTCCCAAGCTGTAAATGTGAATCGATCGTCCCATGACTTCCGATTGAATCATAGTTTACAGAATGCAGAATACTAATAAGAAACAACCGTGATAGGGTGATTATAATTTTGTGATGCAGTATTTGAATAGACTTGACTGAAACTATAAGCGTTGTGTGTATTGATCACACACAGCTACTCTGCACAGCAGGTGCTTCACTAAATACCAAGGAACAAAAAGGAATATGGGCCTACTTGCAGTGGTTGGATTTATAAAATTCTTTAATAAAATATCTTCCCTGTTGTGAGTAAGTAAGATGTAAGGCAATCTATTATTTGTGATATGATTGTATGAAATTAATCTTAATCGTAAAATAATATTTTACTAATCCTACTCGTACATAATCATGTGTAAATTTTCATTGTTAAATTCATTTATTAATTCATTGCGAGTAACCCCTCTTTAAAACAAGTAGTCTTTTCTCGCTAACATCTTTTGTACCAAAACTATCGGTCCTACAATCCTTATTTTTTATAATTACCAAAATGTTTCTTCTTAGAACCGCGGATTATATAACGATTATTTTTGTGTCACTTTAAAATAAATGCATTTTATTGTATCGAAGAAACGCAATTTCATTCAAAGCGATAATACCGTATCGCTATCTTTGTTTTTCATCACATGTCAGTGCATTTTCCCATTACAACTGGACGGAACTGTCAATTTAGACACATCATGAGAGAATCTAACAGAGAAATGTTCCTACAATATTAGATCAGGCGATGATGGATTTACTGGCTCTTTGACAATATACTTGCTAGATACTGGCAGTGCTTTGGCAATTTGTACAATAATTGAAAGTTACGGCAAGTTGTCTTGGAAGTTCTTAGAAATTGTAAAACATTCGACATTTTTGGAACGTTATTAAGTAAATTAGCACTCAATGAATTAATCCAGAAATGGTAGTTCTTTTCAATAATTTTTAATAAAACATACCCTCATATACTTTCAGCTAAACTAAATTTCGTGACAAATGTCACTTCGTTTAAATGTCAATACTGTATCAATTATTTGCTAAAAGTGTTAAATAGTACCAATGATAGTACCTATATAAAGTCCAAATTATTTTAGCCTCTAATACTTATAGGCC